CACACACACACACTCAAACACACACACACACACAAACACACACACACACACACACGCACACACACACACACACTCTCTCACACTCTAGTACACATAATGTACCCACTTGTGTAGTTCCCTTACGTCACAATAATATAGAAAGCAGACCTTGTGCTGTTGAAGCTAGAGAGGTGAGCAGAATAAGTCTGATTCCCTGGAAAGACTTCTCTGTTGACACCCACCCCTTGGTGCTCATATGACCTTATTTGTGAGTGCCGTAAAACCCTCTACTATAAAAAAAAATATTAGAAAGTGGCCAAACAGAGCACTGAGTTGACTCAGGCAGATACTTCACAAAGAAGAAGTCTAGGGATTACTTAATCCATAGGCCTACTTTTATGAGAAGATGATAGAATTTGGGCTGCATATTTCTGTTTTGAAAATGAATTCATCCATTCATTCACTAATTTAACCATTGTTTTATATTTGTTTTCTTTGATTATTATTTGACATAAAGCTGATACAGATACCAATTCATTATTTCTCTTACCCAGAAATCAAGATGTAAAGGTCGATTGTCAAGAAGTTGCAGTCAAGAATTGAAGGCCAAGATTGATGAGCGCTAGAAGCGTGGAGCTCAGTCCCATGAGGTGTCCAAATTCATGGCACAGAAGCAGGGGCATCAGCAAGTCTCACCCAGGAAGTCACGCTACTACCATGCAAAGTCTAGCAAGAGAGAGCTCCAGGAGAAAAGGGCGGCTGTGGCACGTCGCAGAGCGCATGCCACTAGACATGTCGTGGGCAGAACGGGCTGCAACAATCCGGAAACCCGCAAAAGTGTGGGAGCTGTCCTCATAGCTGTGGGCGTACTCTTTCTCATTGCTGGGATCGTCATGACCATTGTGGATGCCACGGACAATGAGCAGAGAAATAAATACCCTGAAATCTTCGCAGTGATTGGTCCAGTTCTTATAGTTCTAGCTGTGATCATTTTGGTAAGCGGTATTACCTTGAGCACACCTGTTATGTCTCGTGCTCTCCACCACTGTTTCTCATTTGATGACCCTGAGAGTTTTTGCCGGGTTCACTGTCCACGTTTCAGTCACTTTCTGAAGCCTGACACGGCAGTCCTCATCAACCAAGCCGGGATGAAAGCTCTCAAGGTAGAGCCAGGTAAATCAGCTTTGAGGCGACAGCCAGCCGCACCACCAGACCAAGAGAATCACATTATAACCAAGGGAGGATCAGAAGATGTGGAGGCTCAATACAATGTACAAAATCCTAGTGAGGTGGGTACAATAAGCTGTGATGTAGATGCTGAAAGGAAACTGGTGAACAACAACAGCCATGGTCGGAGCAGACTTGGGAGCAAAGGCGTTCGTTTTTCAGAAAGTGACGATGGTGATGCTGTTCGAGAGGCCAGGGCTCCATCTGTTTCTTCATCTTCTGACCACAATGGATCAATGCTGTCTCTAAGACACTGTAAAGTACACCCCAAGAATGGAATATGGTGGACAGACAGTGTGAACCCGCAGCCAAATGAAATGTCTGAGTCAGAGGGTCATTTAACAACTGAACTTTAAAAGCCAGATGTTTTGAAATACTTGGCTGGTTTTTTTTGGGGTTTTTTTATAGATGGAGGCCATGAATTTCTACACATTTAAGTTCTAAAGTAAAAAATGGAAGAAGTGGTGGTGTTAAGATTAAGGTCTGTTTTTAATAAAAGAATGGAGACAGTTGAACAGATTCAGGTTGCAAAGTCAATGTGTGGAGAGAAAAGTTATGTTTCTCCTGAAAATGTTTATCAAATGTTCAGTCCCAAACCCCCCATTAAAGACAGCATTGTGTTAATGTTTCTGCCCTCAAAGCCGGAGAAATTTGATCAGGTAGCTCACAATAAAATATGTTTTGTTTTAGAACTAAATGAGAAGAATGAAGACATAATATTTTGCTATTTCCTGTTAAACTAGCTTTCACATTTTGCTGCTTTGCATCCAGCAGGAATGAATTACTTTACTGGTATAAGTATAACCTTTTTGTTCTCTGACAAGTTGTCAATAAAGTTGACACGCTTTTCCTGTGATGCTGCATGAAGAAGATTTTTTTAATAGTTCATAGTTCCACCTTATTTACATACAGGGACCAGTTTCTACCTCTTTTTAAAGATCTTTTTGAAGAATATTTTTACTAGAGTTATGTTGGTAAGAGCCTGATGAAGGAAAGAGATGTAAAGGGAATTGTTAGCAATTGCATTGCACAGGAGAGAGAAAGAGAGAGAGACAGATAGACAAGGAGAGAGTGGTAGAGAGAGGGAGGAAGGGAAAGAGAAAGAGGGAGGGAGAGAGAGGGAGAATGAGTGAGAGGGAGAGAGAGAGGGGAGAGAGAGAGATAGAGAGAGAGAGAGAGAGAGAGAGAGAGAGAGAGAGAGAGAGAGAGAGAGAGAGAGAGAGAGAGAGAGAGAGAGGGGGGGGGGGGAAGACATGTTTCATTGTTTGTGGGATTGTGAAGAATAAAGTTGGTGAGAGGGAAAGGGTCTCAAGACAAATAATTTCTTTGCACAGGCGTACAGGAGTTGTATTCCTATAGTTTAACAATAATTACAAATGTTATTGTCAGAGATATAATATTTTTGCTTTTATTTCAAAATGATGAAATTTTATAGAAACTTTTATTTTTATGCTAAATTATACAGGTAATATTTTATTTGCCCATATGTGTGAAATGAATTAAGTTGCTCAACATTAATGTGCCTATATATGGATGTTCAAAGCAATTTTTATTTTTTAAAATTTTCAAAATGTGTGTGGTTTGAACGTCCACATCACTTTGCTCAAGCAGCTTAGGCTTAAGGGGGGCCTATTGTATTGGGAACATTTATTACTACTATTCCGAGCTTCTGTGGTTTTAACACCAATTGCTTTTATGGCTGTTGTCACAAAAAGCATTCTTTTGCTGTTGTAAGTTCCATGAAAAACATTTCATTCACCATCAAAGTTACAATTAATTTTTCTCTTCAGCTAGGTGGACCAACCAAGTTTTAAAAGCACTCATCAAGTTCTTAAATCCACGATATATGTTAGTCAAGTTGGGTTATTTTGGTTATTGTGATAGGCAGCTGTAAATAATACATTAACATACAAGCAGAAACCTTGATTTTAAGAATTCTCATAATGCTTTTCAGTTTTTTTTACATTCATCAGATTTGTGAAAATAGATGAGAGGAGGGGCTATACTTAATTCTTCATTTATTTGAAAATGTATTGCTGTCTCTCGAGTAACCATTATTTTTTTCCCTCTCCCATATGGGACCAGTAGATCTGTATCTGGCAGGGAGCCTGTTTATTTGTTAACATTTGAAAAAGTTGTGTAAAATAGATTGTTGGAAGAGAAATTATTGTTATTGCTAACTTTGTCCGTGATCAAATGAAGGCATTCAACATGAAACTCACCTACATAACAAGATGTTTATAAACGGCTCCCACATTATATACATCTGTGGCTTATGTAGTTATAATTGTTTAATTTACAAGTTTTACTACTACACTTATTATTATTAATAATATTGTTTTTATTATTATTAGATTGTTTCAATGACAAAGTATTGAATGGGCATCATGAATACCATGTTTATGTATAAATTTAGCATAATTTTATTGTTAATTGCAGCACACTCACCAAATACTATGCCCCCTAAAGAACAATATTATTATTGAAAGCTTAATGAGAGCTGATTGAAAAAAATGAGGGTCTACTGGAATGCTAACGTTGGTCATAGAAACATACTTATTTGAATGTCTGGGCAAATGTAAGTGACTGGGTTTAAGGGCAGCTTGAGACCACTGTTTCTTGTGGACTTTTGTATCTAGCTGTTAGTGACCTTTCCCTCTTTAGCTCTTTTGGGCTCATGATTTGTTTTGCTCAGCAGGGTTGTACAACTTTTATGTCATGGATGCTTTCTTTACTGGAAGCCTTCTTAACGATGATAAACTTTCATTTTGCAACAAGCTGCTTATTTGTATAATAGAAGGACATTTTTATTCAGGCAAGTAAGATGGGACTGTCTTAAGCGGGGACATACAGCCAGCCAGAAATTTGTCTGTTATGAAATATGATCTTTGAAGATTAATTTTACATTAAAATTAGCAGTTCTTGTTATACCTTTTAGATTGCCTTGATTTCTGAAAGAACGATTTCTTTTTTTGTAAAGAGCAGACAACTGAACTATGAAAGTGGTGATGTCAGAATTGGCTTGAGGTGCTCACTTTTAACATTTAATTTACTTCAAATTGGTTTTCCTCTTTGTTTTTAAAACCTTTTTCTCCTTCCCTTATTCTTCTAAATTGTTATAATTCTTTGTAGGTCTTGTAATGGTGCTGGCAAATAAGAAACATTGTGTTTTATTTTGCTGTCAAATATTACAAATACCTGAGTGTGTCCTTTCCTGTTCTTTGAGATTATAAAGCCAAAATGATATGATATTAAATCATATCTCTTGAGACTACGGTACGAGCAAACTGCTAGTTGGATAAGCAACAAAGACTGGGGTGATGTATTGGGTTGTCCTTGTAGTGAAATCACTCATGTCTCAAAATCATTGGAGAACAGAACTATCCAGCCAGTGGCACTGACGCAGTAGGTTGAGGACTTGTTGTTCCTCTGGAAAGTTGGCTATTCGAGTATGAATATGGGGTCCAGATTACAGTATATTTCTAGAACTTCTTAGAATATTTCCTCTCTCCGATGTTCTAATGCGGACCAAGTGTTTTGCCAACAAAATTACTTACATGATGTACTTTAGATCAACAGTAACAGCGCAAATAAAAAAATCTTTAATTTAGATCTTTATTGTAGCGTTTCTTTTTTGTCTATACATGTGCTGTATTCATTTTATAATGATCTATTCATTTACTTTGCGCATGTTTGCTTTTTGAAAGTGGTATTTTGTAACATAGAACATCTCTGCACTTTGCTAATGAGAAGATGACTTTAATATGATGTCTATGTGTATATAATTAGTTTGCTACTTACCAAAAAGGTTACTCAGGTGTCCATAATAAATGTCTCCGTCTCAGCTCACCGAACAAAATGTCTCAAATGCATTTGTGAAGACAGTGTGCTGTTCAAGATGAAAATGTTGCTCAAATTGGTTTCATTATGTGTGAAATATATTGTCCCATATAACCTACATGCTTGTTCATATTGTCACCTGCCAATTACATAGCTTATCTCAGAAGTATCTGATCACACTTGTTCAATTTTATGAACTGCAAGAGAAATTGCAAGGATCTACTTAAGGCACCATATTATGATGTAGTTTGTCTTGAGATAAATTCTCCAAACTTTTTATTCTCTATGTTCAGTGATCAATTTATAATTTTCTTGTTTTTGTTTGTAGAGCGGCACAGAGACAAGTTGGGTTCAGGACTCCTCATAACTCACTACAGAGACATGGCTTTTGATTAATCACGAGTGTCAGGTCTCATATTGTGCCGAGTCCTGTCTATGAAGGAATTCCCCAAGCAGCCCAGGTTTAACTATCGCCTCCTCCTCCCCCCAGATTTGATCGAGGGTGGCCTCGTGCACCTTCACATAGCCTGACAACAATCAAACAATCAAGCAAACAACTTGACCATGGCTTTTTTCAGGATCATACATGGATGAACAGAAGTCATATCCAAACTTTGATTCATTTGTACAGATGTATCAAATCTTCTCTTACTTTGTGTCATAACTTTTGAACAGTGTTTTGGTACCTCCCCTCCCCCATCATCTTTCCTTTCCCTTATCTTTGTTCTGTTGCCCCCATACATAAAAACCGAGTGTGTTGAAAGTGCTATTAAAAGCACACTGCACTGTGGCATGCCATACCCTATAAAGCCCTCACAGGTTGTGTGTATCTTTTTTGTAGTCCAAGAGGTGTCATGCAATAATTTAACCAAGTCTGTGATTAATGTTGAAATAAAATTTTGTACATTCTCATCTTTGCAGTTTTTTGTTATATAAATGAATCCGTTTGTCAAATGCACTTAAGTTATTCATGCCTTTTCATCATCCTTACTCGCAAAATATTTGACTGTATTATGTATTCTGCAAAAATTTACATGTCCACGACATTCAGCGTTTATTTAAGCCAGAAGTGCACCGGACTTTTTGCATATGGCTCAGTTTGTTTGGTGGTTGGCGGGTGCTCTTGAGTGGTTTGTTCCTTTTTTCTAATCAAACATCTATCGTCATTATCTCCACTTTTTGTGTTTGTTACTCTCTCGTAAACACCTCTAATCTTCGTGGGTGGTTGAAGGGCCCTGCTGGTATGTCCTACTTCTTCACTTTCTTTCTGTTGTTTCTGTCTATCTGTCTTACTTTTTCCTAACCCTAAAATAATTTTATTGTGTCGATGTGCTTCTCTTTACTCAGACAAACAGACCTCTAATCTTCGGCACTTTTATGACCTAACTGTGTTTGCAAGTGTCCTTAAACGCTTACTAAAAGCTGTTTTTTGGTTTCAAGAGTGGTGCATCCCATGATTCACGCGATAGGATGTATTACGATACTCATCTGATGATGTATGACTTCTCCTTGCAATACACACGATGTTGTAACAACTACAAATGTGTGACGTGTCATACTTTACAGTACCCTACATGGGATTTTGACGGTGCGTTGGCGGAGCGGTTAGTGCGCTCATCTCCGAAGCTCGTCCGGGTTCGAACCTCGGTTCGGAGAGGGAATTTTATTTCGCCCCCTCCTGCCCTCCCAGCAATAATGGATACCTGACTTAGAGTTGGGTAAGTAAAGGCGGCGTGGAAAGGGACTGGCCACCCTACCACAGTAGGCCAAAGGATCAGGAAGTTGTCTCACGAACATAAGGCAATCCTCAATGTCCGGCCGGATCGGATGCTGGAACATTTTTACTTTTTACATAGGTGAATTAGGCACCATGCTATTGATGTATGAGGTAGTTACAAAATTGGCACCACGCTGATGACTATGGAGTGGGTGGCCCAGGTTCGAATCCCAGACTGGACATTCTTGAACTCGGGTTGTTATTGTGGGGTTCGAGTTTTCATACAAGGCTCTCAATCTCATCCCATCTGGCTCTATCCTGCCGAAGACGGACATTAAGTTCGGAGGCTCTGCCCCTTAAATATCCTTATAGTGTTGATAAAGGAGGGTGTTAAACCCATGCACTGACTTATTAGAACAGGTTCAGTTGTATTATAAAGTAGAGACAATAATACATGTATTAATGATGTTACTATATATATATATATAATATAATATATATATATATATATATATATATATATATATATATATATATATATATATATATATATTATATATATATATATATATTATATATATATGTGAGGCAGCGTGGTGGAATCAGGCTCTCGTCAATTTTTGGGCATGTAGAGTTATTTGTATCATCTTAAAGCTTGTTCACTTGTCTTTATTTGGATTAAAAAAATATCCATTTATCTTGAATACAAGTCGAGATATTTGCAAATGAAAGAGGTGGGGTCACCTGTTTTCAGAGGTAAAATTAGTGAGAAAATGGCTGCCATAGATTAGTTATTTCCTTAGCTTAAGAGTCCGTGGTAACTGACAATTTACTTTTTTTGTGCCTTTGATCTACGTTTTTTCAGAAAAATCCACACAGAAATGAGTTTTTTAATGGGCATGAAAGGTGTTGAGCCGAAAAACAAAAACTTGATAAAAATTCACAAACCTGCGGAAAAATGCAAGTTTCTTCTCTTTGATTATTTTGACGAGAGCCTGATTTCACCACGCTGCCTCACACACACACACACACACACACACACACACACACACACACACACATATATATATATATATATATATATATATATATATATATATATATATATATATAATAATTATTATAACAATATGGACAATAAGCTTACTCGCAAAGTGGATCGGCACAGGTGAATAAGTAAAGGAGGAAGCTGATGAGACAGTGAAATTGAGTATAGAAGGTAAGGCAGGGGCAATGGGGCTACTGTAGTGGAAAAGATGGATTGACATGTCGCTACCTCAGAATTACAAAAGTTATATCTGACATTTTGGGCCGTTGTGAGTTATTATGACCATGATACCAAAAACAAAATGTTCTATCTGCTCTATTAAAATCGTAAAATGATTCAGTGTTGTTATAAAAATAAATAATTGCAATCGAAAAAAGCTTGACATTGTGAAACTAAAATAAAATTGACGTCAAATATTTCAAAGCTAGGAGCTGGGCAGATAGAACTTTGTAATTCTGAGGTAGCTATTGTAAGCGGTAGGCTAATAAAGTCTTTTTGACGTGGTTCGTGGATGTTTAAACCAGTTCCCAAACTTTGAACTCCCCCCCCCCCCCCCAACCCGGCTCTGAGGCCGAGACAGTTCTTGAGCAAGGGAGACAAAAATATATTTCCTCGATTGTATGGTAATTCTTACATAGTCATTTCCCCTTTCTGAACTGATGTCCCCTGCACACACACACACACACACACACACGCGCACGCACGCACGCACGCACACACAAACACACACACACACACACACACACACACACACACACACACACACACACACATAAGGTGTGGTGTCGAATAATTATGGATATGGAATGTTTTTTTTTAATTGTAGAGGGTTTTACGGCGCTCACAACTGCATAAGGTCATATGAGCGCCAAGGGGTGGGTGTCAACAGAGAAGTCTTTACAAGAAATCAGACATAGACTGCTCACCTCTCTAGCTTCAACAGCACAAGGTCTGCTTCGACTATCAAGGCACCCCAAAAAAGCAGGTCACAAGGGAGTGACAAACATAAAAAGCAGCAGTTCCCTTTTGTAGATCAAGCACAGTTATGAGCGTGACATGAGTCAGCCCATTTACAATTCTACTATGCTTGAACGAGATATGTCCCCCCTTTGGGAATGGCCTAAAGATACTCCAGTCAGTGGCACTGCCCCGGGGGGTAGGATATGAAATAACTTTGCATGTCCCATTACTGAAAGAAAAAAAACCCCTAAACCAACAACACACACAAAAATTAAAAAGAACCCAGATGATACACGCATACCGAAAAATCGAAGCCTTATAAAGTATTCGTAAAGTCCTGTAAGCGCAGTATCGATGAAACCTTCATGAAACATCTTCTCGAGAAATATTTAACCCCTTTTTACCACCAATGTAAGCTTCATTGCTTCAGCATAACATCACGCTCATTGGATAAGTATTGCCTAAGTTATTTTGGGGCAAACTGAGCTATGGTTACTTCTGGATAATTTGATTATTTCCTCAGATTTCTCAATCTGTGAAGGTCTTTTGGAGAATTTATCACAATCATAATTTTAATATATTTTTTTTTAATCTAGAAAAAATAAAAACGGTGTGATGTGTCTGCTTGGTAAGTGTTACAGTTTTTGTTGTGTTTCTTTAAACGCTAAAAATGACTTTGGTAATGATCGTACGAGCGTGACAAAAGGGTAATATGTATCTATCGGAACCGCTTTTTCGTGTGGGGTATTTTTTTGGTGTTGGTTCTTGTTTTTCTTTTTTTTCATTGTATTAGTCTTATTTTACATTTTCAGTCTTATTCTATTTTTTAATATTATTTTTTAAAAAGAAAATGTTTTAATATAGTTTTCTGTCATTCAAAAAACCCAGAAATAATTGTGACATGTAGTTTTATAAAAGACCACTTCGGGTCAAATGGACAGATAGTAACAACAAATGAAGGCGTATTGAAAGAACTTGATGCACAGCACAGTGTGCTTTCTAAGATCAGCAAAAGGAGACTCAAACACCTTGGTCACGCAAACGGAAACAGTGTGGAGCACACTTATCCTTCAGTCCCGTCTTTGAACTGTCTTCACAGAAGTGAAAACGCCTCCACCCTCCATACCCCACCCTTCCCCGAAAATAGTACAACAAATACTTTAAAAATGTCAGTGAATAACAAGGTCTCCCCCTCCCCTTCTCCCCTAACCCCCGCCAAAAAAGGAATACAAATAAACGCCCCCACCCCACACCCTTCTTTCTCCCAAATGTAGAATAACAAACAGCTGGTGCGTGTAAAAGGATAGAAAAATGATCGTCAAGAAATCGCTGCAACCTATTTTTCCAGTTTAAAAACGTCTTTACGTGTCCTAAATAATAAAGGTTTTTTTTCTTTTTTTCTTTTTTTTTGGGGGGGGGGGTAGAGATCTGCTCAGAAAGAAAGCTGTTTGCGCCTCCAGCTCTTTCACTGCTTTTCCTTGAGGGTGGTGTACTTCAACCATCGTTATATTTCACCCCCCTTATCGGTTTAGTAAGCGTTTTACGGCACTTGCGACACAGTAAAGTCATATTAATTGCCGAAAAGTAGATGTTTTACATGAGAGTAACTAACATAAAAAGGAGTAGAGATGGACGACAGTTGTTTGATAGAAGGAAAGAAGAAAACACACCAGAGCACCTGCCAACCTCCCACCACTCCTCTTCGCGAAGTTATGTAATGTAAGATCGAAGTAATTTAACTAATTGGCCCACGTTTTTGAGAATTGCCGATTATACAATATGTACCCCTTTGCGTAGCATTGCAACATACTTTTTACTTTTAAAACTTGTTTTGACAGAATTATAGAAAAAGCCTGCTACCAGGAAAGCCGCTTAGGGTGCAGTTGGTTACACATTTGCACAAACTCACGAAAGATCGAGGTTCAGTCCTTAGACGGGTCAGCATCCCCCCCCCCCCTTGGGTATCACCTAAAAGTCTTCTGCCCTGTCCCGCGGGGCCGAAAGGGTGAATGAGACGCCGAGTGACCATGATCTCCTTCTTCGACACCTTAATGAGTATCTAGTAGGAAAATAGCACAAACAGCGAGTGGTTGGCGGGTGCTCCGGTGCGGCTTGCTCCTTTTTCCTTTTCAAACGTCTATCGTCCTGATCTCTCCTTTTCTGTGTTTGCTTCTCTCTGTGTTATCATGACCTTTCTACGTCGCAAAATGCGGTAAAACTCTTACTAAAACTTAAACCCCTCCACACAAACAGCAATAAAACGAAGCAAGTCAAGTGGCAAAGCTGCCCAGTGTAGCAAAGGTATGAAGGTACTTGTGGTTGCTCCTGTATTATCATATTTATATTATGCTGACTTTCAAACCGCTCGGCCGCGGGACAAGGGGCAAGGGGACAAATATTTAAAAAGTATGTCTTCAAGCACTTTCTCATGCGAACAAATCAGAAAATGTGACAAAACAAAACTCAAAATGTTTGCCAGCAGAACACGCACAGGGTGAAACAGATAACAAAGAGTGAGGAGTTTCAGACTGTGCTGAACGTGCCGTTTTACTACAACTCACTCACGATCTGGATGCGTCATGGCCGAAGAAGCCTCTATAAATCTTGGCTCGCGAAACTTCTTACTTTCTTTTTTTTCGGTCTCCGATGGGGGGACCAGAATGTACGGACTGTAAGTATGTCTCTTACCTCGGCAAACCTGGTTGTTTTATGTTACATGGAAATAGTATATGTGAAGCGTTCTGACGAAATGAGTTACTTCTCGGATCCAAGCCCTATGGAAATAGATACATCATGCTTATACGTGGGGATTTTACAATTTATAAGTAAAAAATGATAAAAGCCATCTTATACTTAAGAAATATATGGCATCAATAGAAAATCTACAAATTAGACTGTAGATCTAGTGTTGATTTTTGGCCAATATCTCCACTATTTGTGGATTGCGAGAAGTAGATCTAGATATAGCTAATTTTGTCAGCACGTCTCACATATGTTTAACGCCCCTATTAACACTGTTAGGTTATTTAAGAGGCGGTAACTCCAAGTTGAACGTCCATCTCCGAAAGGACCGAGACAGGTGGGAAATTGGAAGGACTTCCGTAACGAGTGACCACTCCCAACAAATACAATAAAGAAGAGACCGAACCCAAGTCCTGCCCTTAGCCCTCTATTCTACTTTTGTCTCATAGTGGTCGCTCGATACGTAAGTCCTCCCGGGAATTCGTGTAAGGTGCCTTTCCCCAAGGTCACCTCGTCGAACCTAGCTGAGGCTCGATCCCCCCGAACCCACAATCTCACGATTATGAGTCTGTATTATGTGAACAGCTCAATGGCTAGTGAAAGTTGTAAGGGAGAATACAAGTACTTGATAATAAATTGCTAGAATGTATTCACCCCATCCTACCTTCCTCATTTCAATCGCTCTTTGTTGTAACTGGAACACCTATTTCGTTAATTTAAAAATGCATTTCTGCGTGGAATTTTACTGAAAACATTGATCAAAGGCACACAAATGTAAATTTGTAGTTTTCAAGGACACTGCAGCTTAAGAAGTCATCAAATTTGGGCTGCTATTTTCTAGCAAATTTTACTTCCGACATCATGCGACCCCGATCTCCTTCAATCACAATCATCTCGACATGGGTACTTTTTCATCGGGAAACAATTTTTTAAATAAAATTTATGCCTGTCGTAGTGGTACTGAGTTTTAGAGCTTTTGTGCACGTGTGTGTGTGTGTGTTTTGCAAGCGCCGCCGAGCACTTTTGGGGGATTCTAGAGCGGTGGCACTGGATGTTCAGCATTTTCACTACAGTTGGTACAAATTAGTTGGTATATTTTTAATCTCGCTTTCTTGGAAATAGACGTTTACTGTGAACACCTTGAATGGCCCAACTTTCTTTTCCCGAAGTTAAAACAAAAGAGTAACGCAAAAAGTAAATGGCCTTTTCTTGTCGCCACATTCACACAAAATTTCCTCGTATTGTAAAATATCACACCTCATTGTTTAGATTTGTGCTCACGTCATATTCACGTTATAGGTCCCCGTATCCTTTTCTTTCTTTACTCCTTGTTCGTGGGCGGTTAGCGGGCGTTCTGGTGTCGTGTGCTAGTTATCCGAAGTCTATGGTCCTTATCTCTCTCTTTCTTTGTATATTACTTTCTGGTAATGCCATATCGTCTCCACTTATGTGAGCTATTTTTCAGGTGCCATAGAACTTCTACAGGGACTAAACTCTTCTTCCCTTCCCTCTCACTTAGCCATATGCTCCATCTTGGATATAAACGTTCGTGTCTGGTACGTCAAGCATTGCCAGACCAAAGTGGTAATTAGTGGGTCGTTGGCTGGTGCTCTGGTGTGGCTTGCTCCTTTTCAATCAAACATATATCTTCCTTATCTCCTTTTTTTGTTTAACTTTCTTGTAACACATCATCTTCGGCACTTATATGACCGTATTGTGTTGAAAGTGCAGTAAAACGTTTACTAAAGCTAAAAATTGATCATTTTTATATTTGTCTTGTTTTGCAGGACTCCGTGGAAGGTGTCCCGATATCTATAGAAAGTGCGTCAGCTTTTAACCACCGTCTTTTAACCACCGTATACATTTAGCAAGTGCTCTAAAAAGAACACTTTCCATACTCACTGGGCATCCCCGAAACCGCAACACAATACCCGGACCAGAAGCGTACAGATCTATGGACAAGATGAACAGCACGAGAGCGGAAATCATGAAGATGCCGGCCCCTCATATATCGCAAATCACCAATGAGGATTTATTCTCCCGGTCAGATGTCGACGTCATCAAAACTCTGGGCAAAGGTGGCTACAGCGAAGTGTTCCTCGCTTCGTGGAAAGGTGTACCTTACAAGTTGGTCGTGAAGAAATATCATATTGCGGATGTTGACAAGACCCCCGCAAATAGAGGTATCAAAAGAATGCACTTTGACGCTGAGATCAAGTGTTTGAATAATTTAGAACATACACATATTGCTAAGTTGTTCACAGCTCTTGTGACGTCATCCGGAAATTTGGGCTACGTCATTATGGAACACTATCCCGGAGGGGATCTGTTTCACTTCAGTCACAGATATATGCTGAACGGAGACCAAATGGCCAAGATATTCATGGGCGTCAGTATGGCATTGTCGTACATTCACGAGAAGAGGATCTTTCACCAGGATATAAAGCCTCAAAACATTTTGTTGGACGGATATGGACGGGCGGTGCTCACCGATTTTGGATTAGCCTCGAAGCTGAAGGAAGGACAGAATTCGGTGACTTCTTGGCATACCACAATAGGTCACTATGGGCCAGAGCTCTGCTTAGGACGCCGGTTTTGTCCATTCAAGGTAAGATCTTTTTGCTTTAATTAAGAATTTTAAAATAAGCAAGTGAAAACAAACGGAAATGTAGAAAGATCAGAGAAAGCGAAATTTTAACCTTTTAAACAGTTAAGGGATGCAGAAGAATAGCTGGCTCAGTGTAATTATCCCTATTTAGTCTGCTTTCATACGGAAAGACATCTTCAAATAATTAATATAAATTATTCACGTCCTCTTTATAACTACTGTCGCACGTGCAACATTGCATTCTCATTTCATTGTCTATGAGCTATCGTGCCCTGTGGTCAACTGAAAATATTTTCAATATCTTGATATCTTTTCTTAGTAGCGAGATACTAGAAATGCTGACTTTGAGTTTCATTTCATTCATACTAATGATAATGATGTAATAACGGTCATAATAATGGTCGTTACAGTCCGTCTTCTTCATGGTCGTCATCAAGGTCGTGATAGTCATAATGGTTGTTATATTGATGATAATAATATTAATAATGATCAAAATAAACAATTGCATTTATATTGAGCTTGGACGTATCCACATTTCAGAAAGATCTTTGCACATAACCATTTATACCCTGCAGACTCTAGAGCTCGGAAACCGGGAAAAGCTCGGAAACCGAGAAAAGCTCGGAAACCGAGAAAAGCTCGGAAACCGGGAAAAGCTCGGATTAACATTAATTTGGGTGGAGTGTTGGGTGGAGTGTTGGGTGGAGTGTTGGGTGGAGTGTTGGGTGGAGTGTTGGGTGGAGTGTTGGGTGGAGTGTTGGGTGGAGTGTTGGGTGGAGTGTTGGGTGGAGTGTTGGGTGGAGTGTTGGGTGTGTATGTGCGTGTGTGTATGTGCGTGTGTGTATGTGCGTGTGTGTATGTGCGTGTGTGTGTGTGCGTGTGTGTGTGTGCGTGTGTGTGTGTGCGTGCGTGTGTGTGCGTGCGTGTGTGTGCGTGTGTGTGTGTGCGTGTGTGTGTGTGCGTGTGTGTGTGTGCGTGTGTGTGTGTGTGTGTGCGTGTGTGTGTGTGTGTGCGTGTGTGTGTGCGTGTGTGTGTGTGCGTGTGTGTGTGTGCGCGTGTGTGTGTGCGCGTGTGTGTGTGCGTAGTGTGTGCGCGTGCGTAGTGTGTGCGCGTGCGTAGTGTGTGCGCGTGCGTAGTGTGTGCGCGTGCGTAGTGTGTGCGCGTGCGTAGTGTGTGCGCGTGCGTAGTGTGTGCGCGTGCGTAGTGTGTGCGCGTGCGTAGTGTGTGCGCGTGCGTAGTGTTTGGTGTGTGTAGTGTTTGGTGTGTTTGCGAGTTCTTGTACATGTGTTTGTGCACCAGGGTATCATTACTCAAAATTAATCAATGTATCTGCCCTCAGTTGGACATGTATAGCTTTGGTATCACTTTGTGGAAGACTGTCTTCAAACTATCATCAACCGCCTTTGATCCCTTCACATTTACGCATACCTGCACAAGCCTCGTTCCCTATTTCAAGTAAGCTTCATTTTAAAATATCTATTTTTTTTTACAATTTTGATTAGATTCTTGATTTTATAACGGAAATTTTGTTTATTGAAAAGAATCATCAAAATTGCAATTTATACATTGCTATACGATTGTAAATGTGATGATTAAATTTTTTTATTCACTGAATTTTTAAATAAATAGAATCTATATTATATGCCCTTTCAGTGAAACGGGCCGTGACAGGAAATATGGCGGTTACATGGCATTATTTTGTCGATAGTGCCATTTCGAACATCAATCACTCAGTCAATCATTGTGACATAAGATTTATTCAATCTCTCATAAATCATAGTCTATTTCGTTTCAGTGGCAAGTCTTATTTTTGTCATTCCTGTTTTTTCTCTATCACGTAATGGCCGTTATCATGTTGAATTCTGTTTTAATGTTACGGCGCCCGCATCAACATAAAGTCATATGAGCGGGCGACTATGTTGAGTTATTTCAACTCAAAGAATTCACCACAGTCGCACGCTCATATATAACCTTAAAACACTGCGAGTGCCGTAAAACTATAGAATTCTCAACTCAAAGTCAATTTTCATAACCGATTTTCCCCCCAGAGATGCCCTTCTGAAACTTCTCCACCCTGTCCCTTGCGCCCGCTGGGACTCTGGCCAGTTTGAGAACCATTTCCGGAGTACCCCACGCAGCACTCAAATTTTCATAATGCAGCCGCAAGATCCCACTGCACATTACATTCTGCTAGCTCAGAAGCGAAACCCCAATGCAGTTCCTGTACCGCAACCGCTTGCAGTAGTGCCATTTTATACCTTTCGGTTTGGGTATACTCGCTAAAGACAAAGATCCTACACTACCAGATGGTTCACTCCTCTCTTTGAGCTTTGAAAAAAAAACGTCCTTAAAAAAAAGCCCAGTGCTTTGCGAACGGCTGACTACGGAAATATAGAGAAAAAATTCAGAATGAAAATATCAGGGTACAGTTATGTCGTAAGAAAATGTTATGGCCTGATTTTAGTAATTTTTTAATAGATTAAAATTAAGAATGAATAAAGTAACAAGTGAAGCTCCTGCGGGCTTTAAAGTTGTTTATAGGCCTTTTTGAGCTCGATTTATCGTGACCAAAAAAGTTAAGTCGATAGTGCCGTAAAACAAATACTCAATCAGTCAGTCAATCGATTTATCGTCACCATCGCTCACCACTCTTCGTGGATGGAAGAACAGCAGTTGATCTGCTTGTGCAAGGGGATGCTATTCCTATTCTTCTCGAAAAACTTCAAAACAGCGACAGTTGCCCCGTCTAAAAAAAAACCAGGTTGCTTTTTTGGCGAGTGAACCATCTGATTATGCAGGATCTTTGCTAAAGACGCAGCTTCAACGGATTTGAATTTTTGCATGTACACCCTGTTATCCCCCCCCCTCCCCCTCTTTTCCCTCGTCCCTAACTTTCACCCAAAAAAATAGGATTTAAACAAATCAGAAAACTAGATGCGACTTCTTCGTGTTCAGTAGGCCTTTCCCCATTATTTAATTTCCCTTTGGCATCTAATGTACTTGTGTTTAATGTTAATGCTAGAGATAAGAACTGATTACCAGCTCGGACAAAGCTGTGAGTGAACATAAGTAGTAATTTGATAAGTCCCACAGTTTAACATCTTAGATTTTTGAATGGATTCTAAACAAACGGAAATATTGTTCTATCTGCCTAATGCTTGAAAGTCGCTAGAAATAGAAAGCACCATAATCTTTTTCACAGCTTAAAACAATCTATTTCTACCCTCAGTCACTTTTTTCTCTAATCTTTTGTGACCCTGGAATTCTGTACATGATCCGTTGAATTATGTGCGTGTGTACTGTTTTTCGTGTGTCATGTGTACCGTGCGTTGTGGGCGTGTACCTGTGTACATGTATGCGTGTGCATGTGTGTGTGTGTTTTGTGGAGAAAACGGGCATGAATATAAGGCTAAAATTTTTATGTAAAAACATGCATTTATTTCAATTTTTAGATATTCAACAGCTTTTATACTACTTTGTATACATGTTTTTAAAGTGCAACATTATGCTGGTTCTATTGATTGGGGCACCTTCAAAACAAGGCTATTTATAGGAGCAGGACTCGAGCAAATTTTAATTTTAATGTTCTTAGCTGACATGCATTGCATTTTTTTGACAGGTAGAAGAAAAAATGCCATTGGTCTTTCAAAGTTATTCTTGGATTTTTAGCATTTTTAAAACAATAAAGTAACATGCTAGTCGTGTCCATGCCCAGCCCCGCTTGTGTTTGGTTTCTGTTAGTTTGTCTTGTGTTTTAAAAACGAAAGTGGGTGTTTGGTGGGTTCTCAGTTGTTTTCTCCTGTTCTAACAATCTGTTTAGTTGTAGTGTTTTAGTGGATGGTTTGGCGGGTGCTCTGGTGTTGCTTGCTCCTTCTTTCTTATCAAATATCTATTGCCCTGATCTCTCCTTCTTTTTTGTTTGTTACTTTCTTGTAACACCTCTGATCTTAAGCACTTATATGACTTTATTGTGTTGCAAGAGCCGTAAAACTCAAACTAAAAAGTAGTGTTTTACGGCACTCGCAACAACCCAATTAGGTTATAAGTGCCGAAGATTAGAGGTGTTACGGTGTTAAAATAGGGTGTGTTAAACACAAAGGACGATACACACCAGTGCCCCCTTTCTCTATTTTTCCTTGTATGTTACTGTAGTGACGTCTCTAATCTTCGGTACTTTACTAACTGGGTGGTAGGCGGGTGCTCTTGTGTGGTTTGCTCCTTTTCCTATTGAACATCTATCGTCCTTAACTCTCTTATAAAGAAAAAGAAGGCAGCGTATCGAAAAGCCGTCAACAACACCACCATAGAAAACAAGATCAATTATTTAAAGGCTCGAGCTGTGGCACGTAGATGCCTCAGGGAGAGCAAAAGACAATCATTCCAAAAATACATCTCCAAAATCAACAGCCAGACACCATTCAACCAA